ATTGTGCTAATATCGAGCTGCAGGTCACTAGCTTGGAAAGAGTATTTTACCGCGTAATTAAAAATGATGAAGTTCATTACCTGAGTTTATGAACAACTGCCTAGAAAATGTAGTTTAAATCTGTTCATTAGTTAAACGTGATAAAATCTACTCTTGAAATAGCGTTTACAATTATGCCTTGACCTAACAAAATTATCTTAGCAGCTAATATCAAATGAAGAGCGACAGAACCAGGAACACACAGGCGAGTGCCAGAAGCGAATAAGAGCAAAAGGATACTCATTGTACGCTGAAATAAAAACGCATAAGAATTAGTAGAAATAACATTGATATAGTAGACGAGTAGCTCGTTCAACGATGGATCGGCGTTCAAATTGACAAGATAGAAACGATCCTTTTCAACCTTTATTCCGGAGCCAGCCACCGAGATACCAATTTCTGCCAAATCCTTTTGCCTCTCCTGAAATAAATTTGCATATAAATATCAGATGCTACCTGCCTTTGCTCCCGATTGCTCTTTCTGGTACAAAAATTCCAGATTTTGTTTTCTCATTTTACTCGATGCGATAGCACAGCCAGAAATAGGGAAGGGCGATTTCACCCAAGTTTTTAGTGACACTCATCCTCCGATAAATTTAGTGACACTCATCCTTTTCCCCGATCATGCTTTGCCTGAATTTGGCACTGCTCGAAACATTCCAACATAGTCCGAAACTGCCCTTTGCCTCATTTTATTTTACTCCGGTTCTCCTCCTTCCAATTACAAAAGGTGGCTGCCAGTATTGTTCCCCAGAATTTGGTTCGACAGCTAGATACTAAATCGTTTTATCAGATCATGCATGTTTACCCTGTAAACGGCTTCAGTATCTTTAAGCCGTTCGTCCCATGATTTATTCATTAGCTCCACCAAACGTTCCGATTCTGCCAACCGTTCACGCAGCTCTTCAGTCTCCTGGAATAATACTGCCATGAAAAGCTTGTTCGAAAGGATGATAGTGCAGCGTCAGCTACGCATATGAACTGTTGAGAACAGCACAATCCAGGAAAAGAAGTGAATAAGATAACAGACAGAAAAATAAGTGCGATTTGTCCTTAATATCTGAGTGAAATCTATGGGAAAAGAAAATACGACACAATCCAAAAGCATGTTACTGTTATCCAGCAT